CCTTTCGATCTGCTCTTGAAAGCGAAGCTCAAGCGGGCTCCAATTTTTTTAGAGGGCATACAGGCGTCGACACTGTTATTCCGAATGCCTTGTGCTGTCATACAAGGAACATTAGCCGTACTAAACATTTTAGAATTTACCTCATCAGAGGACCCTATGTGCAGGCATTTATGAAGTGCTTTGATTGCATTTATTACAGATTATGTGTGTTGTGCTTTCCGTTTCAGGATTTAGTTCCATGTTTAGTACCTGTTGTTCACCTTGTGCCATTTGTTGCATAAAATGTTGCTTTGTCTGAAGGTAAAACCCTTCAATATCTTATACACGTGGTGTCTGGTGTCCAGCTCCCAGGCATGGCGCTAGCCTTGGCGTCTCCCCCTCACGCAGGAGGATAATGCGTGAACGCCATCTGTGTTCCAGCCTTATGAGAGCTGGAACACAGATGGCGTCAGCTCGGCACATAAAACGTTAACATATGTATGCATGTGAAGTGCAGGCAATTTAGTCTCGCATCACGCTGCGATTTGGGCTAAGAATTTAAAAAAGGAACATACATTTTTCATTTGTGGGCATTGCATTAATTGTGGGAAAGAAAGACATGGCATAGTCAGTTGAATGGCCAGAGGCTTTTTGCCAAACACACTTGAAAATTTCAATGTGTCCTGCATTTTTTTCTATTTTTCACTGTGGCCATAATCTTGACCCACTGTGCAGGTAGTTGTACTTTCTATCTATTCCATCTCACCCTGCCAGACTAACTCTGACCTGATAAAAATGCATTGTTTTGACTTTTGCAGACTTTTTGCTCCGTCGCCTGGGTCAGCCAGCCAGATTGGGCCCTCGCAGGATAAGACGCCTGTGGAAGTGTCCCGATTGTGGCTATGTTACAAAGAACCGCACTCATATGTCAGCACACCGAATAACACACACAGGCGAGCGCCCATTCATATGTGACCACTGCGGCAAAACCTTCAGTCAGAAGTCCCACGTGGTCAGGCACATTCGCACCCACACCGGTGAGAGACCTTACCAGTGCCACCTCTGTCCCTGGAATTCTGCATGGAAAGGTGAGCTTACACGCCACTTCAACAAAATTCACAAGTGCAGCCAACACTCAACTCAGGGTGCACACTTGTGAATGGCAAAGAAAAAGACTGAGGAGACGTCTTGTTCTGTGGCTTCAAGTGCGTTGCCAAAAGTGCTAAGGTGAAGACTACATCGTTCATGTCCCGGGAAACCTACAACTGTGCTGCTTGAACGACATAAAGGACGCGCGTAACTCCAGGACACGTGCCAGCAATATGCAAAACTTAGTGGTTGTGTTGATAAATGTTGAAGACTCGCTTCTGTAGGCATGCATTGGACTGTGTTTGTGGCACATGCAAGTGATTATGTGCTCTAATTCGTGTCTTTGTGCATACTGCAAAGGTGCGTTGCATTAAGTGATTTCTGAAATACTGGTTTGTTAACGCTTAGGATTCAGTCATTACTGCAGCATTAGAATAAGTCACTTGATGATTTTTTTACTTATGCCTGTCATTCTTCACAGAGGTGTGCTTTGTGTGATGGTGTAACGATAACACTCATCTCGAGTGTCTATATTTCTACAATTCTTTAGTTGTAGTAGAGAGATTACTCATGATTTCCCAACAAGTGCACACATTTCGGGCAAATGCCAACAAACTTTTTGTTAACCAAAGCCAAAGAAGATGCATTTCATGATGTGATAATTTTTTCGAACCATTTGCTATATTCTATGTTGCACAGATGCTGCCTCTATGTTCGATTTGAAGCATCACCGGGTTTTGTGTCCAGACAAGAAAGCGTGCACATTTTTCCTGAACCTCACGAAGTTGCTATTATTCCAGAATAAGCTATCTTTAAGTGTTGTTGTTTATTTGGAGGTTTTTAAGATTGACTGTGCTTTTACGTTAGTAAAATATTGCCCTTGGCGTTTCCTAAAGTGTCTTCATCATACATTTTAATGTGGAGCACATTAGTTCATCGTAATGGAACCTGGTTCACCTAGTTTATCATAGTGGAACCTATTTGATTATGACACTTTGCTCTCTTTCTGTTTTCTTGTCTTTTTTTTTCATATGCGTGCTTTCTCATTCATCGCAGCAATTCTGCTCCGTTTCTTTTTTTCTTAAAGGGAACTGCACATCACCACATCCTTTCGACTAGTTAAATAAGTGTAGGTGTAATAGCTCATCCCAAACAATGCGTCAAGTGCCCGAGTGAGTGGACATAGAGAATTACTCTCAAGTTTTACTTTCTGGTTTATGTTTATGTTTCAGAATATTCTCTATTGTAGAACATTTAGAAGTGAAGCAAGTTCGATGTCGTAGTCAAGGTGTTTTTTTTTGCTAACTGGCTTTTTTGTTTTATTAATGTTCAAAAATTGACTTTGAGGAACTGTGGACTTTCTTAAGTGTGGCAGTTCTGATTAAAGAGTTAACAATGTGAGAGTGTCGGTCAGTGGTTTTCGTCCCTCAGTTCTGGCCAGGGTGCGTACAGGCCCTTGAAATCCTTGAAAGACCTTGCATTTGAAAAGTGTGTTTTCAAGGCACTTGAAATTCCTGTAAATTATTCCCGTTCTTTAATGTCCTTGAATTTCCCAAACAACGCTTTCGCAATCGGCGCTGCAGCCTTTTTAATATGATAGGTCGCCGTTCACCTGACAAACTCCCCATTTCAGAAACAGTAATTTGCTGTGAGTGCATGTGGTTTCATTTTGCAAAGCTGCACAGGGGGAAAAAAGAAAGTTACACGGGGTCAAACCACGAACGAATGAATGACAGACACGTATTGCTTGTCGGTGCTGGCTTTTCCCTTTTTCCCAAAACGTGAAGCTAAAGTAAATAATGCAGACTAGACATGTTTGTTATAATTGTCATATCCATGTATTTAATTTAATGTAGTAAAATTAGTCTTTTCTGGTAACTTTAGAGTATAAAGGAATTGCAACCTTGTGTGTCGCTTTGAGTCCTTGAAACACCTGTCGCAGTTTCTGAAACGTTTTGAATATTCGCTTTGGAAACCTTTGCAACACCTGGTTCTGCTGCAGCAGTGTTTCTTTTTGGTGGTCTTCTCGAAAGCATGATATGCTATTTCATGCAAATGGAAATGCCTTGTTTTATTGCCTAATACTCTAGCAAACCAGGGAGGCAAATAAGCAAACAAAAAATGCTAGACTGGTTTTGTCAAATTTGTTGAGGTCTTTGGACTGATCGATTAAACCATTATTAGAGTTAGTATGCATTCTTCTAGCTTCTTCTTAGGAAATAGGCCTAAATGCATTTCTAAGGCATAATTCATTGTGCATTGCTGTAAGTAAATGGATGAGTAGAAAATCAGTGGCAGCAAGAAACAGTGTTGTATTATAGGATGAAGCATTTGAATAGTGTTGCATTTGAATTATTATCCTTCATAATTCACTGCGAATTGTTCACTTCCAGTGCATCGGAAATGCTCAGATCTTTCTCTCTTTGTTGAATGAATGTACTATAATGATTTCTGTTTGATTTCGCTACTGCCGCTTAATCACTTCATAACATGAGCTCCAGAAAAAACCACATCATAGCCCTTTTTCGTTTTAAAATCACTAGCAAAGAAAATCGTACCTGACTAACATACACAAGGCAGGTGCAAGCTTGCAGATCTCTTGCAATTATTCAATAAATGCCAACTAAATTATCAAAGTATATTTGACTACATTAAAGGCCACTGAACGGGCACATATCAGTTGCACATGAGGGCCTCATCACATGGCAGTCGCTTAGTATCTTGGACATGAGCTCTGTGTGAGTGACTATTGAGAAACCTCGCATAAATGACAGTCTGTCAACATCTTCTGTGGCTGCCGTAATAATAGTGAACAAAGATAAAATGTTAAAGGGACACTAAAGTAAAAAACGATTGAAGCTGAATGTATGACAACTTATAAAACGACAATATTGTGAACAGTAGTGCCCTACTTACCAGATATTCAGGTGAATATAGGGAACACATGCTCTACGATTGAACATTTGCAAAATGATCCTGATTACGTCAGAGGTACCACTTACAATTTATCACTAGCTACACTAAATAAAGAACCTTCAGAGCATCAAGAGGCATAATAAAATGCTGCTTGTTCATGTCTGTTTTATTCTTGGACAAATGAACCGCCGGAAGTCACTATGGGAAATAACGCGAGCGGATCGAAAGTTCAATTTTCGCCTACTTAAACTAGATGAATTTTGCCATCTAGTCGGGCCTAGTTGAATCAATCTTGTCTGCCACCTCGCAAGCCATGGCAGGAAAGTGTTCAATGTTCGTTGTTGCTGCTGTGGCTCCGGCGAGAAAAGTAACACTACGACGTTTCTGGACCCTATTTCAACAATCAAAGTTGACTTAATAGTTGCCTTTAGTGTCATGTAAAAATAATTTATGGGGTGTAACGTCCCAAAACCAAGGTTTGAGAGACGCCTTAGTGGAGGGCTCTGGAAATTTCGTCCACCTAAGGGTTTTTTAATGTGCATCTAAACACATGGGCCTCAGGCATACCTGCCTCTATCGAAAATGGAGTCGTCGGTGCCAGAATTTGATACAATGTTAATCGTACTGACTACTTCAGAATTCACTCCTTTAAGGCAAATAATTGTGATACGCTTGTTTAGCCATATATCAGGAAGTTCTGGTGCAGTCAACGTGTTTTTTGTCACATATGAACTTTAATGCGGGTTATAAGAGTTGATCATTTTCTCACTTTGCACTCTTGCTAACCTTTGAAACCAGTGTAAAGTAATTTTACTAGCTAGGCTCTTTATTTTTTCCTTCAATCACAACTGTGTTGTTTACTACAGATTTATCATTTTGGATTGTGCAGGTTTTGCTGCTATTCATCATCACCTTGACCAGCCAGCTCGTCTGAGATCTTCGACAAAAGAGCGTGTGTTCATATGTTATGTGTGTGGCTATACTTCAAAGCACAAATCAGTCATACAAGACACCATATGATACATACAGGCGAGCGTCCGTTCAAATGCGAGTACTGCGGAAAAACTTTCAATAAGAAGTTCAACTTAAGCACGCATATTCGCATCCACACTGGCGAAAGACCTTACCAGTGCCACCTCTGTCCCTGGAATTCTGCATGGAAGAAAGAGCTTATGCGCCACTTGGAAACTCACAAGCAGAGAAAACATTCACCTGAGGGTGCACATATCTGAACTGTGAAGGAAGAGGCTAAGGAGGCACGTGGTGTGTGCGTCTCATGCTCTAGGTTCAAGTGCTGCGCCAGAAGTACCAAGGTCGGCGATACTTTGTCCATGCCCCAGTGAAGTTTGCAACTATGTGCACCAAACTTATTGGATGTTGTGATAAATGTTGAGGACTTGCTCCATTAGGTACACATTAGGCTGAGTGTGGGGCAGGTGGAAGTGATATGTGCTCTTATTCGTGTGTTTATTCATCCTGTGATGTTGCATTGCATCCCGAATAGGTGAAGGAGCTGTTTTTTGATCTTTAGAAATGAGTCATTACTGTGGTTTGCTAAAAGGCACAGCATTTCTTGCGAAAGCGAACGCTGATTGTTTTTCACCGAAATGTGTTTGTGCAAGGGCCCAGCCTTAAAGTTAATATCAAAACAGAAACACTCTGTAGTTCTGCAGTTCCTGACTTGTAGCAGTGAGATCTCCTTAATGAGCAAGCAGGTGCTTTTGTTAACTTTCTTCTGCTCAGCTGAGCAGCTTCCAGGCTGTCTTTGTGTGCGATGCCGCTGCTGATCTCCAATTCTTGGACTTACCATTCGTATAACTAAAACCAATGTCCTTTTCTTAAATTGAGCCAAAAATGAAGTATTTCATTGTGTGTCATTTGTTGAGTACCAGTTGCTATATTGCATGTCCCACGCATGCTGTCTCTATGCTGGATTTCAGGCATCTCCTGGTCAAGTGTTGAAGAAGTGTGGGCATTTTTCACGTGCCTTGCCATATTACACTTATTGGATGCTCAGCCAGCTTTAAACATTGTTGTTTCATGGGAGGTTATTAGGATTTGCTGTAGTCTTTTGTTAGCAAAGCTCTTCCTTTAATGCTTCTTCACCTATCTTCATAACATTTGTATTTATGTGTTGACGGAGCTACTCCTTAGTTCATTATAGAATGCTGTGGGCAGAACTCAGTGGAACCCATTTCAATGTGACACTTGGCTCCCTTCTTATTTTCTTGCTGCTCCTATATGTGTGCACTTTCTCATTCATCATTGTAATTCTGCTCCATTTCTCTGCTTGGAGAGATGCACATATTCACACACACTTTTGACTGGTTGATAAGAAGCGTCAATTGTGGTGTGTTTTAGTTTTGTGGTTGCCAGTTTCGGCTTCATGTAAAGTATTTCGCCCTCGGGGGGCGCTACGCTGTGTATATATGCACGACATTGTACATAATAAAACAGTTCCTGCTTGGCTAGCGGCTGCTGCGTACCTCGTGTCGGCCGGCACTTCAGCGCCGTGTCCTGCGTTTGCCGCACAATACTACATCAATGTAATAGCCCATCCCGAAAGCGAACAATGCATCATGTGCCATAGCATGGAGAGATATAGCGAATTACTCCCAGTGCTGCCTTCCTGGCATTTCAGAATGTCCCTCGTTGCAGAACCTTTGGTAATGCAGCAAATTCCATGCCGCAGACAGTGTGCCATAGTGCACTGGTTTTCCTTTCTTGTTTGTGGAATAGCACTGTCTTCTTAAGGTGGTGTGCTCAGAAGCTGTAACAATCTATTCCCAGAAAATGGAATTGCAATGTTAGTATTGTCTAATACGCTAACCAACCAAATGGCAAAAGAAACGAAGAAAAAATGCAAGGCTTCTTTTCTCAGTTATATCATGCTGTTTGAGTGATTGGTCGAACCATTAATAGAAGCAGACTGTGCTCTATTAATTTTCTCTTAGACAAAAGTTTGAATTAATGCATTTTAAAAATTCATTTGTTTTGTAGTGTGGGAATCACAGAATTGAAAGCTGGTTGCGACGAGATGCAGTTATGTGATACAGGACAAAGCGGCAGACATAAGATTGCCTCTTTTTCTATTGTGTAATGTTTGAGTGGCACTAAGGTGAAGAGGCGGGCGAGACGAATTCGATGCATGTTGTAAAAAAAATTAGTGCAAATAAGACTGAGCACAAGTAGAGAAGGATGCAGTGCGGGCGCTGTCTAATGACTGAAGTTGTTTGGAACAAAAATTTAGTTTCCATATGCATTCAATTTTCATTTCAATAAACCAGTAGTTAGACAGCACTCATTCTTTGTCCATCTTTTTTTGTGCTCCTTCTTGTTTGTGCAAATTTTTCACGTGTGTTTGAATCATTGTGCTTCATTCTTCACTGCGAATTCACTTTCCGCTGCGTCCGAAGTGCTCCGGTATTTCAGTCGTCGCTGGATGTATGTGCGATAATGATTTCTGCTTGATTTCCCAGTTGTACATTAACTGCTTCCCAATGTGAGCTCCAGTGTTAGCAAATAATTCATATCAAGACAATAGATCAACAGAATTCTTTTGCTCTAACATTGCAAACTAAGAAACAAGTGCTTGTGTTGGTGCATGTGCAGTGCTAAAATTATTCATGAGGAAAGTGCTAGCTTTGTGGTCTCGCAGATTACTCGGGAAACATCGCCCACATTTTAGCATGACAGGGTTAAAGAGCTAATTTCGCAGAAATTCCAGCGTTGGCGTCGGTGGTTGTGAGCGAAGCATCATCATAATTTCGTGTGAATGAAAAATTGAGAAATATGCAAATAAAATGAATAACAAAAGAAATTCTCCATTCGTGTGAAGATCGAACCTAAGTCATTTGTGTGGCAAGCAGGTACTCTACCACAGAGCCACACATCTGTTTGGAAATACAGTGAAAATAACATCCTCTGCTTGGAGATGTAGTGAAAATAACTTGCATGCTTTAAAAACTCACGCGTTCTGTATATAGGCTTCACAATGCAAACATGTAATATCGCAGTAGTAATGTGTGGTACAAGCGTACATTGCGATCAGACGTCAGAACATGTGATTATCATCACTTCGTGGCTTAAGGTTGGCCACCCACTACGAAACACACGCACTTTACTGTGCCTTTTCCCTTGAGGCCACATAGTGGGTGCGCAGAAAGTTCGAAAAGATTTTATGCGCAGAATTTCCCGTGGTTTAACGCATGCTACCCTTTAAAGAGCAAGCAGTCGTATGTGAAAGCTTCATCGACACAAGCCACTTTGAACTCAGTACGCTGAGACAGAATATGGCTATCGTGTATATCTCTCATCTCTTAAAGGCAGAGTTTAAGGATCCCCCATATTTCACTGGGTATTCCCTGAATCCCACAAAACAGCCATCAATCTGTAGCATATGAGAGCCTCATCCCATCCCTGCACCTCAATGGCTTGTATTCTCATGCCAACTCTCATTTTCCAGTGTCAGCTTTTTCTGAGTGTCTATTGAAAAACCTGGCATAAAAGTGAAACTTGGGCAACTTTCCGTGTGACTGCCCAAGCAAAATCATGCAAAGATTTAATGTTAATCCTACTGAATACTACAGAACTAACTTCATCGATGAAAAGGATTATGCTACGCTTGTTTGGTCATATAGAAATTTGGATGTACCCCCAGCATTCCTTTTCAAGTAACTGCAACACAAGTTACCAGAGTTCTTTCTTTTTTTCAGGCCATTTTGTGAATATTTTTGTCGTAATTCTACCTTTTCTCACCTTTAACTGTCACCATCCTGCGACCCCAGTGTAGAGTAGTCGTACTAGCTGGCCTTCCTTCGGTAATAGTATTGCCGTTTCCTAAAAAAATTGCCATTTTGCATAACGCAGACTTTGCTACTGTATGCCATCGCCCTGACTGGTCACCTCATCTGGGATCTCCCACAAGAGAGCACGTGTTCAAGTGTCAAGTGTGCGGCTATACTGCGAGGAACAGATCTGCTCAACAGAGACACCATATTATTCACACAAGCGAGCGCCCATTCAAGTGCAACTCCTGCGGCAAAGCTTTCAATCAGAAGTGCAATTTGGTCTCACACATTCGCGTTCACACTGGCGAGAGACCTTACCAGTGCCACCTCTGTCCCTGGAATTCTGCATGGAGTTGTGAGCTGAGGCGCCACTTGGAGGCTCATAAGGTCAGGCAACATTCACCTGAGAGCGCAACTATGTGAACTGTAAAAGAAAAGGCTGAAAAAGCCCTTAGTGTGTGCTTCTCATTCTGGGGTTTTCAAGTGTGGTGCGAGTACTAAGGTCGGGGTTACTTGGTCCATGCCCCAGTGAAATAGGCAACTGGGCTGCTTCAGTGGCATAAAGTGTATGCATGACTGGAACATTTACAGGCAGTACACAAAACCTATTTGATGTCATGATGAATACTGAAGACAAGCTCCTTTGGTTATACATTGGTGAAGGTGTGGCACGTGCAAGTAATTAAGTGCTCCTGTTCATGTGTTTGTGATTGCTGCGAAGTTCTATATTGCATCAAGCAATTTGTGAAGACCTGGTTTGTTTATGCTCAGGACGAGTGAGTAATTACTATAATTTGTGAAAATCCACTTGATGTCCTTTTTGGCAAAAGCCAGTGCCTGTCATATTATGTGTGTTGTATGTGATGGAGTAATGACAATGTTTATTTCAAGACTGAAACCCTTATGAGGAAGAGCTTTATTTAAGACGAGCTCGAGCTGGCACCCACTGATGATGATATCTACAGATGAGGAAATTATACAAATTATGATGACACGTCCTATTGATAAAGAAGAGTCAGTGACTGCTCTCACACTAATTCCCCGTTTGCTGGAAGCGGCCTCCTGGCCGTAGTAGAGACAATATTAGGAATTGCGTTGGGTATACAGTTTCAGTCGAGAAACGTGCACTATTTCCGTCCCTCGGCAACGGTGGTTAGAGGGAGCGTTAAGTGGTAAGATGCAGCAATTAACGGGGGACGTTTGTTCAATCAACCTATAAGGTCCTATAAAACGACTGAGGAATTTTTCACATAAGCCGGGCACACGCACGGGAATCCAGAGAAGAACTTCGTCTCCTGGAGAAAAGGTGACAGCACGGTGAGTTGAGTTGTAGCGAGACTTGCGAGCTTCCTGGAGATGCCGTTGTTGATTCGGGGCAGATGACGGTAGTGCTCGAGGCGAGACAAAAATTGTGCGGATTCAGGGCCTGCTGAGGTATCAGGAGCCGAAAGGAAGGAGGCGTCCAGAGTAACACTTGGAGAGCGGCCATGGACCAGAAAATAGGAAAAAAAGCGGGTGGTGCGTTGCGTAGCCATATTGTAGGCGAACGTGGCGAAATGGCGTTCCACTTCGTGTGGTCAGGGTTAACGTACATGGCAATCATGCCTGAGAGGGTACGATGAAAGCGTTCCATCAAGCCATTTGTTTGTGGATGATAAGTAGAAGTTGTCTTGTGGATGGTGTTGGCGGCGCGTAGAACCTCAGCAGCAATAGAGGAAATGAAGACCTTGCCGCGGACGCTGAGCAGAACACGTGGAGCTCCATGGCAGTAAAAATATGTTACGCAGAAAAAATCGGCTACTTCAGTGGCTGTACCAGCGTGCAGTGAGGCTGTTTCCACATAACGAGTGAGGTGGTCAACAGCCGTTACAATCCAACAATTTCCATTGGAGGTCACGGGAAGGAGGCCGCACAAGTCTATCCCGACGACTTCGAATGGCAAAGTGGGACAAGGAACAGGTTGGAGAAAGCCAGAAGGAGCAGTAGTGGGTCGTTTCCGCCGTTGACATATAGCACACGAAGAAACATATTTGGCAATGGCGGATGAGAGGCCAGGCCAGGTGAACCGACTGCATATTTTTTCGTACATTTTGTGATAGCCGAGATGCCGAGCAGCAGGATCATTGTGGAATGTCTCAAGAACCTGATGTTGTAGACAATGCGGTATAATGGGGACCCATTTGTTTCGTTCAACGGGGTAAATATTGTGGGGGTGCTGACACCCCCTCCCCTTGTAAAGTTGTCTGCGCCACGTGGCGCACGTGTCTCGCCCCAAGGCTTTGTGTCGGTGGTGACCACCGCCGGGCGATAGATGGCGTTGTGTTCGCTTTGAGTACCACTGTTGGTAGAGTGGTAGCGCTGGCGGTGGCCCTGGCGGAAGGCAGGTCTTGGTGGTTGGCGAGCGTTGAGGCAGCCTCTTCTGCGCGTGTCGGCTGCTGCGAACGGTTGTCTCTGGCGTGGGTCCCCGGTGCTCGGCACTACGGGCTTCGTGCCGGGGTCCCACGTGGAAAGTCAGGCGTTGGCGACGCCGCCTTGGGTATGTGTTAGTGTGTTGGGTGTGTTAGTGTGTGTTTATCATGTTATTGTGTGTTTAGTGTGTCACTGCATTATGTTGTTTGTATGGTAGCATGTTAATTAAAATTGATGTAACATTCGGCGGACGATATCGTCGTCTAAATTAGTTAATAAATGTATGTATGTTGTGTGTTTTGTACCGACCGCGTCTGCTGTGTCCCATCACTCCAAGAGCGTGGCGTGGCATGGCGCGCGCTCGTCGCGCCGGACCCCCACAATATATATAAAAAACACCATCATGAAGCTTGAATTGTTTCAGTTGTCAGTGAAGTCGGGCGTTCAGAGGAGTGGATGTGCCTTCTAAACGTGCTATTATGAAGCGGCAGTAAGGGTCAATGCGTTGATACGACACAAGAGTAAAAGGACGGCCGAATCTTAGCCAACTGAGACCTGCGATGGGTAATGCTGCGGTGGAAATTGGTGACGGTGGGCTATTACAGTTGGGTAGAGGGCAGCGATAGAGAGCATCAGTATCTTGGTGCTTCTTACCAGACCTGTAGACGACATCAAATTAGTGCTTTTGTAAACGAAGCGCCGAGTGGCTAAGACGGCCCGATAAGTTCTTTAGCGACGGAAAGCCAACACAATGCGTTGTGGTCGGTGACGACTCTGAAGTGGCGGCCGTGGAAGTATGGATGAAATTTTTGCACCGCCCATACAACAGAAAGGCACTCTTGTTCAGTTATTGTGTAATTTTTCTCAGCAGCAGTCAAAGCACAACTAGCGTAAGCGATGACACGTTCGATGTAGAACATGCTGCAGTAGAACAGCACCGAGACCATGACCACTAGCGTCAGTGTGAAGAATGGTGGGTGCACCTGGATCGAAGTTACATTGTACTGAGTTGTATGTCAGGGCTTGCTTCAACACCAGGAAAGCCTTTTCACAGTCTTCGGACCAGCCGAATGCCGTGTTACTTGCGAGCAGTTGATAGAGCAGAGAGGCAAGCCTTGCGAAATCGGGTATGAAGCGCGGAAAGTAGGGATGCCAAGCCGAGAACACTGCGCAGGTCTTTTTGACGCAACGGACGTGGAAACTCGAGGATGGTGGGAAGCTTTTCAGGATCTGGTAGAATACCGTCTTTGCTGACTAAGTGCCCTAGAACCTTGATTGTCTAGCTTGCAAAGGTGCATTTTTTCGCATTCAGCTGTAAACCAGCTTTTGCAAGGCAACCTAGGACTTCTTCAACATGCTGGAGATGTTGCGAAAAGGTAGACGAAAACACTATGATGTCGTCGAGGTAGCATAAGCAGGTTTTCCACTTTAGGCCACGCAGTACGCTATCGATCATACGTTCGAAGGTAGCAGGCACGTTACAAAGTCCGAAAGGCATTACGTTAAATTCATATAGCCCACCTGGGGTGGTAAAAGCCGTCTTCTCTTCGCCAGAATCGGACACTGGTATTTGGCAGTAACCCGATCGCAGGTCAAAGCTGGAAAAATACTTCACGCCATGCAGCGAATCTAGTGCGCCATCGATTCGTGGGAGAGGATAGACATCTTTGCGTGTTATTTTGTTCAGTGCTGGGTAATCAATGCAGAAACGTACTGTTCGGTCTTTCTTTTGCACCAAAACAACTGGTGAAGACCGTAGACTCAAGGAAGGGCGTATGATATTCCGTCGAAACATGTCTGAGACGTTTTCATCGATTATCTTCCTTTCTGCAAGAGACACGAGGTATGGGCGCCGGTGATTCAGCCATCAGTCTGAATTCGGTCAGTCGCGGAAGTGTTCACTCCAAGGAAAGCAGAATGAATGTCAAACAAAGAAAGATGTCTGTTCAAAAAATTCAGCAATTCTTGACTCTGGGCTGCTGTCAGATCAGGGCTTATCGTCACCAATAGAGGAGTGGGAGAGTTGAGTGGCGGTGCGCTTGGCTCTGGTAGGTCTTCTTGACTTGGAAGGGCAACAATTGCAACAAGATGCAGGTCAATAGCGCATGTGACTGTTGATCCACAGGGCAACAATAAGGGTTCGGGGGTCTATTTTAGTGCAGTAATAACACAGTAATTATTCAAATAAGTAATTATTTGAATTAAGATTTAAAGCAGTAATTATTTGAGATGAGGTGGCACACACTGATGATGATATCTACAGATGAGGAAATTATACAAATGATGATGACATGTCCAATCGATAAAGAAGAGTCGGTGACTGCACTCACATCCTCTGTATTTTTCTGAAACTTTTTCCAGTGACTCCAGTTCTCACAGCCGCAACTGTAGGCGATGCCCGAGTCGAGCCTAAAACGCAGTGGTGTTCCGCCAGTTCTTGGGCCCTCTGGACTGCCTTTTGTTGGTTTCGAAGATCGGGGGCTCCTCAGTGCCTCTTTCCTGTCAGACTCTTTTTTTTTTTTTGCATGGCGATGTGGAGAAAATATACAGCGGTTGATGAGCAAGCTGTGCTAATCAATAACCACCATTTATGTACTCTACAATTATTAGTGCTTTTTTATGCTGCTCAATATTCTGTCAATCATGAGATAGAAACAAGTTTGCAATTAGTTTAATGCATGAAGGGTAATACATTGTTTGTCATGTAAAGAGGAAACATCCGAACAAAATAAGAAGGACGGATTTCTTCAGTTACGGCGCACTCTTTGATAGGTGCGTTGAACGAACTGAAGTTATTAAATGTCTCCTTTTCATTTCTTTGAAGGCAGATGCACTTAAGTATGTTTGGAAGGCACAGTTCTTGTACAAAAAAATGCTGCACGAGAAACTTTGAGGAATAGCGAAATTCATAAAGTTTGTGTATTTACGAAATGTAAGAGGTGTCCAACTGATTGACAATAACTTCAATTAATGACCTGTCTTACTTATGTGGGGAACCCACATTAGACGAACATTGTGCCTGCAGTGCATCAGCACCTCGAGATTTTATAGCACCATGCTACCTACACATGACACTCACACTCATAGGCATAGCCTCAGATTTGTAACAAAAAGAAAAGTACGCTGCTCGGGTTCACCCAAGGGTGAGTTTAGACCTTTTATATATGCTCCCGTCGTATTTATTTCAGCATACTGTTGGCCCTCAGGCCGGTACAGTGGTGGGTTATGGTTGTTGTACCTTACGAAACCATACCATATTATACTAAACAACATTTCAAGAAGATTAAGTATGATATGTTAAAATGCAATATTCAAATAGTACAATACAGCAAAACAGAATACAAAACAATACAGTATAATACAATACACTATGTGCAGCTATTTGCTGGTCTCCTATGACGTTAACATAGCAAGAGTGGGAACATAGTGAAATTAACATAGCAAAGTGAACGTCTCAATCACTTGCCTCAGACTGAGCGA